TCTCTATCTGTCTCTGTCTTTCTCTGTCTCTCTGTCTTTCTCTCTCTGTGTCTTTGTCTCTGTACCTCTCTTAGGTGGTCTCTGTTTCTCGGTCTCAGTCTCTGTCTCTTTCTCTGTCATTCTCTGTCTCTCTGTATGTGTGTGTCTCTCTCTGTCCCTCTCTGTTTCTGTCTCTCTCTGTCTCTCTGTCTTTCTCTCTCTCTGTCTTTGTCTCTGTCCCTCTCTTAGGTGGTCTCTGTTTCTTGGTCTCAGTCTCTGTCTCTTTCTCTGTCATTCTCTGTCTCTTTCTCTGTGTGTGTGTCTCTGTCTGTCTCTGTCTCTCTCCCTCTCTGTCCCTCTCTGTTTCTGTCCCTCTCTGTCTCTCTGTCTTTCTCTCTCTCTATCTTTGTCTCTGTCCCTCTCTTAGGTGATCTCTGTTTCTTGGTCTCCATCTCTGTGTCTCTCTATGTTTCTCTGTCTCTCTCTCTCCCCCAGCAGAAGCTAGGTGACCATTTGTCATGGAGGTTGCAGAAGGGATTTCTGTTCAGATTGGGCTTGGATTAGCTGGCCCTCTTCCAACTCTGAGACCTTGGCCTTCTGTGAAGGAGGATCACCACTCTTCCTGGGCTGTGTGGACTCAGGGACTGGGGGCAGGGCTCTTCCAGAGTAGGTTGGGTTCAGCTGCCTCTGGGAGAGCTGAAGCTGGGACCGCCCCCTGGATACCAGCCCAGGATGGCCGGAAGCCAAGGATTTAACCTTGGAATCGGATTATTCAAGCAAAGATTGTACTCAGAGTACACTACCCCCAGAGACCCTGCAAACATGAGGATTACCTCAGCCTCTAAGTGGCCCGGGAGAGGGAATAAAAAGAGGAGGCAATAGCCCCGTTCTTCAGAGCCTAGAAAGTTCTGAGAGTCAGTGGTGGAATCGCTTCTCAGGACACTGCTTCTGATGGAAACTCAGATTCTACTAGCTGCTCTTTCTCTGCCACCCAGCCCCAGTGACCACGGCTCCTGAGCAGGCCTGCAGCCTCCTCTCCCCAGCTTTGAGCCCCCCTGTCTTTTTTGGCTCTTTGGAGAATGGGGCAACTCCACTATCACAGCCCACCATGGTTACAGGACCCACCAGCTCTCCATACACATCTGTGCCTATGTATCCCAATGGAGAACACCACAAGGATATTAGGTATCCTGCCAGGGCTGATTCAAGGAGGTAGCAGCCCCCACCCACCTACCCCTATACACACCAGTGGCACACACCTCCACTGTCTTATCTCTGAAATATTTATTGGTAATAGGGCCAAGGGGAGCTAAGGTAGGGTAAGGAGGATGGGGAAAGGATATGGGAGGCTTAGGCTCAGGGTGAGACATGCCACGTGGGGGGGTCTGCTGGCAGGATGTCCCTTGCCCAATCACCATTAGCAATGATGGGGTGAGGGGTCGCTGGGTCCCTGCATGGCTTCCGCCTGCCTTGGCACTGCCACCTCATCCATGGGCACTGCCGCTTCCAGTTGCAGGAGATTGTGAGTCTTTCACAGTGCAGAAGGGTGGGGGGCTCCGGGATGGGGCACCTCTGGTGAGCTTGGACAGGCTCAGTCTGGACGTCCTGTACATAGGAACGGTGGGGTGAGGTGCTCTCTTCTTTCTCCCTCTGCCATCTTGTCAGCGCTTGCAGGTCCCTGGACCCTCAGCGGGACATCATCCGCACAAATTCTGGGGAGCAAGAACAGATGGAGGAGAGAAGGGTGAGCAGCCCCCAGACTCTCCCACTCAGAATCAATAGATATCCTCACCTCTTCTTACGGCTGGGTGATGCTCTTCTTTCCTAGTCCTAATTGGTTTAGACTGAGACAAAATGTGAATTTGGGAACATGAGCTTTCAAGGAAATGTTGAGTTTCCTACAGTCTGATAGACTTAGATACTTGAGGGCTAATAGAGTACTGGACTGAAATCAGGAAGATCTGGTTTGAAATCGAGCCTCAGACACTCACTAGTTTTGTCTCTGGGCAAATCACTTAACCTCAGTCTGCCTCGGTTTCCTCAACTGTAAATTGGGAATCGTAGTAGCACCTACCTCCAAGAGTGATTGTAAGAACAAATGAGATAATGTATGTAAAGAGCTTTAAGATGACAATAATAATAGCTAGAACTTGCACAGTGCTTTAAGATATGCAAAACACTATAAATGTTGTCTCATTTAATCCTCAGAATCACCCTGGGAGATAGTTGCTGTTATCATCCCCTTTTCACAGATGAAGAAACTGAGGCAAACACAGGCGAAGTAAGAAAGGAACAAGCATTTAAGTGCCATGTGATAAGCACTACGTTAAATGTTTTAGAAATAAAGACATATTTCATTCTCACTGTGAGGTAGGTGCAGTTATTATCCCCATTTTACAGTTCAAGAAACTGAGGCAGGCAAAGGTTAAATGACTTGCCCAGGATACTTGAGGGCTAATAGAGTATTGAACTTGAAATCAGGAAGACATGAGTTCAAATCTGGCCTCAGACACTTACTGGCTATGTGACCCTGGGCAAGTCACTTCATCCCGTTTGCCTTGGTTTCATCATCTACAAGATAGCCTGGAGAAGGAAATGGCAAACCACTCCAGTATCTTTGCCAAGAAAACCCCAAATGGGGTCATGAAGAGTCAGACACAAAAACAATTGAACAGCTCTCAGGCACTAAGGCCATGTGCCAGAAGATTCCCTAAAACAACCTACTTCGTAGACGGTCTGCTTTACTTACATGACTGGCACTTAATACTGCCTCTTCTTCATTGTCAAGGCCAGGAGAAAAAGGACTCACATGGAGTCTCAACTGCTCCTAATGCTGTGCCCTGTGCATCTCACTTCTGATACATTCTATACTCTAATCACGGGCAAGAGACTTCATTTCCCGGTGTCTCATCTGTAAAATGGACCTAATGATGTCTGCCACACCTACTTACATGGTGGCAGCGAGGAAAGAATTCTCAAACGTTAAAAAGCCTCAGAAACACGAGTTGTTGTTCTACCAGGAGCTCCGCCAATATTCCACCAATGAACGAGTGGATAGTGCCCGACGCCCCTTCCTCCCAGTTCCTCAGGGAAGCCCTGTACCCTCAACAGAAGAAGCACCTACCTTCAAAATCTACACGCCCATCCCCATTAAGATCCACATCCCGGATGATTTCCTCGATGTCACGGTGACCCACTTGGTGACCCAGTAGCTTCCTCATGGCCTCCCGGAGTTCATTGGTGCTGATCTCCCCATCACCATTGGTGTCAAACTAGAGAAAGGGCGGGGGAAGTGGGAGGAAGAGGTACTCATGTCAGGAGGACCAGCAGGGCTCCCCCAAAGCTCCTTCTCTGTGGGCTTATTAGTCTTCCCTTGGAAACAGCTCTTCCCTCTACTTCCCAGTCCTCTCTATATTCTGCTGACCCTTTCATTCCCTAGGATTTTGGCTACATCTATCCCTGATGATCTGAGAAAGAGCATCAAAGCTTTTTGTTGATCTATCCTGGGGTTCAGTGCCTAGAGATACCCTCAGTCACTTAGAATGTAAGTTGTTTGTGAGTAGAGATTGTTTTATTTATTTATTTTTGCCCTTGTCTCCCAGCACCCAGCACAGTGCCTGGAATGTCCTAAGTGCTTAATAAACACTCGACTGATTAATTGATTGGGCATCACTCACCTCTCGGAAGGCATCTCGAAGTTCCTTTACCCCAATCATATCTGCTGTTTCTGCCAGGAGTTTTGGCCCCATCAACTCTACAAAGTCATCAAAATCCACATGGCCTCCCACTGGGAAGAGAGGTAAAGGATGGTGTGAAAGATATCCATCCCCAATGTAGCTCTCTGCTCCATCCCTGGGAATAGCCAACCCAATACTCCCATATTCACAACAGCATATACTACGCCCAAGAGTTGAAGAACAAGTGAGAGGTTGCCTCTAGCTTATGAGAAAGAGATGGGTCAAGACAGTCATTTTGACAGAGCTAGATGGATAGATGAATGGATGGATGGATGGATGGATGGATGTGTGGGTGGGTGGATGGGTGGATGGGTGGGTGGTGGATTGATGGTTGGGTGGATGGCTGGTTCAATAGAGTATACCTAGATTGATGAAGACAGGCAAGGAGGTAGGAATTGAAAAACACAAATGGGATAAAGGGAAAGGGGGGCCGAAAAGAGAGAAAAATGGGAGGAAGAAGAATAAAAGTGGAACAAAAAGGGTGTTTGAGAGGAGACTCACAGTTCATATTGATTTGCTGAGAGAGTTCAATCAGTTCCATCTCTGTAGGCATGTAGCCCATTGTTCTCATACAGTTGCCCAGGTCCCTGCAGTTGATGTAGCCGTCCTTGTCTTTGTCAAATTCTTTGAAGGCTTCTCTTAGTTCTAGGAAAGGGAAGCCAAGAGGGACACTGCTAGTCACCCTGGCCATTAGTGACTGGGGAAGCAACCTCTGGGAATCAAGAACAGCCCAAGAGCTCAGACCCTCTCCTCCTCATTCTATTAATTAGGCCATGCCCCAGATTAAGAAAAGTACTCATTGCCATCCTGGACAGTTCTCCCAGCCTGCCATCCCTCCCCTCCAGCCCCTCTGCTGCTAAGAGTCTGGCCCTGGAGCTGTCTAGTCATTCATAGATATTTGTTCCATATCAAGCACTAAATTTCAATGGCTTCTGCTCATTCATTCATCCATCGACATTCATTCACTCATTCATTTGACAAATATTGATTAAGCGCCTACTATGTGCAAGGCACTGTGCTCAGGAGTCTGGGAACATCTCTGCCTCTCCCCACCAGTGTCCCCACCCAGGCAATCCGGGAGGACTTGGCAGCAGTTTTCACCCAAGGGGCCAAGTTTTACCTTCAATCTCCTCTGGTCGAAGCTCTCTGTCCTGCAACAAGAGAACACTCCCTATTAGCGGTTGCCAGTGGCCTAGAAGAGCCAACAACAAGGACCCCAGAGTGTTTTGGCTTCCTGGGGCCACAGAGCCCCAGGCCAATGGTAGAGAGCAGAAGAGAGAGAAACCGGAGAAGGGGAATGTCCAAGACCCCCAAGCCCTCCCATGTGATGTCCTTCTCTGAATCACCCAAGAGCGAGGGCACATTTCCCAGCCCTCCTCTGGAGAGGTGATGCACAAGACCTCCACCACCACTCCCAGCTCTGCCCCAGGCCCTCCTGCCAGGACAGGGAGGAGTGGGTACTGCTGTGACCCTCCTATCCCAGATACGGGGAGGTGGAGCTCCGCACGTTTGCAGGGAACAGAGAGCATCCAGAAGCAAAGCACCTGCAAGGAAAACAGCATGGGGAGAAGAGTCACAACTCAGAGAGAGGAAAGCAGCCCCTCCCCAGGAGAAAGGAGAGAGGTAACACACAGGACAAGAGATCTGGAATAAGAGGGAACCTCAGAAGCCAGTGACTCTGATCCCCTCATCTTAGAGGGCAGGAAACGGCAACCCAAAGAACTCATATAAAATTATAGTCCTGGGGTTGGAAAGGACCTTAGAGGGCATCTAGTCCAATCTCCTCATTTTGCAAATGAGGGAACTGAGGCCCAGAGAGGCGAAGTGATTTGCCCAAGGTCACATAGGTAGTAATAAGTTGGGATTTGAACCCAGGTCTTCTGAGGCCAAACCTAGATCTCTTTCCACTGTAGCATACTGCCTCCAATGAAGAGGAAAGAGCCCATAATTAGGAGAGAGAAGAGAAAGAAGGAATGGAAAGGATGATAAAGAGGAAAGAAAGGAGGGAAATGGGAAGTCAAAAGGCTGATGGGATGGTGATACGAGACGGGGGGCTAGAGGAAGGAGGCAGAGGCATGGACAAGCTCCGGGGCAGTGCCCTCCATGGCCAGGAGACTTGGAGAGCCCAATCCCTTTTCTTTTGACCTCTTCTCAAGAGACCCCATCTTCTTTAACCTCCTTCTACACTGTCCCATCCTCCTACACAATTTGGAGCACCAGACAGCCCTGTCCCTCTAGATGACATCAAGGGCAAATGGTCATGTGTCTCCAGTCCTCAATGCCTTAAATAGCCTCCTCCCCACCTGACTCCATCCAGGGAGTTATGAAAAATATGGGATGGTGGCAACAGATTCAGCAGAGGAATCCTCGATGCACAAGACACCAAGAAGCTGCAGAGCAGAGATCTGCTAGTACTAGGTAAGTCCCTCTCACCCACCAGTGGGGCAATTGGTACCACTGACTAGATGGGACCATAGCAAAGAGAAGGCGTAAATACTCAGGTCGTTGGGGAGTGGCATCAAAAACTCATACCTTTGGGAGAGAGCCCAGGTTTCCATAAAGTGCAGGTATAAGGGTTAGGGGGAGAATGTCTGCTGTAGGGGGCTCCATGGGGTATATTCATGCATGTGTAAAGGTCATTTTATCAGGATGGACATTCTATGAGTCATTTATAATCCACAGGGCAATGCACACAGATTGTTTTTGCAGGGGCCAACTGGAATATAGATCAAGTGGGGATAACTGCAAGTTAGCCAGGTCTGGGCAAGGCTGACCACTCACTCCAGATGGGCCCCAGCATAAGAGGGCACAGATGCCCAGCATGGAGTATTGGACTTAGACCTGGAGGTGATTCATAAGAGGAAATACTGAGCCATATCTGTAATGGGATTTCTGTCCTTCTAAGCATCATAGACCCCAAACTACACATAAGTGAATGAAGACATGAGGCCTATTATGATGGCTCATGCTCGGTGGGTCAGCTGAAAATAACCAGGCCTATCTAATAATGTTCACTAATGAATACAATGGACATCTTGGGGTTTACATATAGATGAGAGATGATTTCTATGGACCTTCTTTGAGTAATTGAGTCTGGCAGCGGTCACCTATGGAGAGACGTTGCTACCATCTTTACTCCATCTTGAGTTTCAGAAAGCAAGGAGTGTCTCTGAAGAGCAACTTTCCAAAACTCTAAGCTGTAGAGGGGGCACTGATACACATAGGTAAAGAGAAGTTCCTCTCCGGGAAGCAATGTCATCATCAGTCCAGACCCTTTCCCTGTAGTGACATGTAAGTGTCATATCCCCCAGTTGAATATAAGCTCCCTGGGGACGGGATCAGATTTTTTTTTTTTTTTTCTTTTTCTCATGCCCCTTCTGTCAATTAGTTCCAATTTATCCTATATAGAGCTTGTTTGCACATAACAGTTTGCACATTATCTCCCCAACCCCCACCCCATTTGATCAAATAAGGATCCAAAAAGATTTTATCCTCAATCGCTTAGTACAGTGCCTGGCACATAATAGGTACATATGCTAATTCCTTCTCTTCCTCCCATCAATAGGCTCTGAGCTCCTTGAGATCAGGAACTGCCTTTTGCCTTTCTTTGTATCCCCAGTACTTAGGACAGTGCCTGGCACATAGTAGGTACATAATAAATGCTAATTCCTTCTCTTCCTCCCATTAATAGGCTGTGAGCTCCTTGAGATCAGGAACTGTCTTTTGCCTTTCTTTGCATCCTCAGTGCTTAGGACAGTGCCTGGCACATAGTAGGTACATAATAAATGTTAATTCCTTCTCTTCCTCCCATTGATAGGCTGTGAGCTCCTTGAGATCAGGAACTGTCTTTTGCCTTTCTTTGTATCCTCAGTGCTTAGCACAGTGCCTGGTACATAGCAGGTGCTTAATAAATGCTTATTGATTATCGCCATTTCTTCATCACTAACAAGAGACTGGGGTAGGGAGGGAGAGCTTGTGTGTATAACATTAGGACACAGTGATTATGTACTCAAAGTGCGAATTCTTCCCATAACATCCTCTTAAGGAACCCCACCCCACATTCCCCTAGCCTCAAGTGCTAGAAGGAGCTACTGAACATAAATGGAGTCAGGGAGATGGAGTAAAGGAACAAGAATTATTGAGCACCTGCTAGGGGCCAGGCACGGAGCTGAGCACATTACCAATATTATCTCATTTGGAGAGGAACAGGATGGTGCTGGCAACAGTGTCCATGTGTTCCTTCGATCTCAGGTTTCCCCGGAGCATCTGGGCTAAGCAAGCAGTACGCTTTTCCAGCAGCATGCACAGGGCATGAGCTGAACCAGCTGGGCATTGATCTCAGCCTTGTGATCTCCCACTGTGCTTTGAAGTTTATAGATGAGATGAATCCATGGGCTGATCTTATAGTGAGACCAGCCATATACACAAATACAGGGTGGAAATCCGTGTGCTCCCATGTTGGGGGCAGGGAAGGGGAAAAAGGGGAGCGTTGCATGGAAATTGTGCAAATAATTATAGTAACCCATTTCTCTTTAAAGTTTACAAAAGCGCTTTTCTCATAACAGCCCTGTGAGGTAGCTGCTAACAATAATTCACATTTGTATAATGCTTTAAGGTAGGTAGTGAGAGTGTTATTAACCCTGTTTTACAGACAGGGAAACTGAGGCTTAGATTTCTCCCTCCTTTAGAGCTGAGATAGGTTCAATGTCTTCGTGTTCACAGCACCAGGAGGACCTGGGTTTATATCCAGCTTCTGACACAAAGTAGCTGTGTGACCCTGGGCGAGTTAATTAACTTCTCAGTGTGCTGGGCAGCTGTCAAGATAAGTTGCAGAGAGGGTGTTTATCTGCATTGAGGGAAAGGAAGTATCCCCACCTGAGAATTCCCCATACCAACAAATCACAGGTCTTATCCACATCCCTATTCATATATATGTTGTCTCCCCAGTAGAATATACATTCTCTGAAAAGAGGGATAGTTTCATTTTTGTCTTTGAATCTCCAGTACCTAACAGAGTGGAGGGAGGAAATAAGCATTTATTAAGCACCTACTTTGTGTCAGGCAGTGTGCTAAGTGATTTACAAATATTATCTCATTGGATCCTCACAACAACCCCATGAGGTAGGTGCTGTTATCCCTGTTTTACAACTGAGGAAACTGAGGCAAACAGTAGTTAAGTGACTTGCACAAGGTCACACAGTTAGTGTCTGAGGCTAGATGAGTGAGCAGTCTTACTGACTCCATGATCAATGCCACCTAGCAGCTTCAGAATTAGGATTTAGGGATTAGTGCTGGAATATGGCCAGTGTGTAATAAATATTTGTTGACTGACTGACTGACTTGGCCAAGGTCACCCAGCTAGTTAACGTTGGGAAGTCACTTCCCATCTATCCAAGTAGTCAGTGGAGATTTGTAAGCACATAGCTTTTCCAGGGAGTTACAGCACTGGGTGCTTATTGAATATTTGCTGATTGATGGGATGGATGAATGGATGGATGGATCTGCCCAAGGTCACCTCACCAGTCAATTTTTGTGGTCACTTTCTATCTACCCCAATAATCGCTGGAGATATGTAAGCACAAAGCTTTGCTGAAGTTACAGCACTGGGTGCTTACTGAATATTTGTGGATGGATGGATGGAAGAATGGATGGATGGATGGGTGAATGGATAGATGGATGGATGGATGGATAGATGGATAGAAGAATGGATGGATGGAAGGATGGATGGATGGATGGATGGATGGATGGATGGATGGGTAGAAGAATGGATGGATGGAAGGATGGATGGATGGATGGATGGATGGATGGATGGATGGGTAGATGGATGGAAGAATGGATGGATGGAAGGATGGATGGATGGATGAAGGTTGGTCTTGCCAAAGTTCACCCAGCTAGTAAATGTCAGAGTCGCTTGTCCTCTATCCAAATACACACTGGCGATCATCAATCAAATGTCTTTGCCAGGGAGTTGTGTACTGAGCGTGGGTCTCTATCACCCAGAAATCTGTGTATTTGTGTAGGAGGGAGTAATTTAGGTGTGCCATGAGGATGGAAGTGTGTAAGGTGGATAGGTAACTTTGCCAAATGGATTTGAGGCACAGCTCTGTCTATGGAGTTGGTGTGTGTCAGTGGGGTTTAGGGCTCCCCCCTT